ATCAATGAACTCCATGTCAATCAACTTTTGAAAATTTTAATATTTCGTTTGACAGATATGAAACACCAGTCGGACACTAGACACACTTTCATCTCAACGTTTTATCACTATTGTCCCTTCACAAAATGATATCATCACTGATGTACTTACTATTTATCATCTAACACCTTACCAGGCAGGAAATCAATCCCACATAGATCATCCATCCCAGTAGGGTGTAATCATCACTGATCTCTTCTGATAATCACAAATATACAACAACAACAACAACAAAGTACAACACTGATGTGAATACAGAATCAAAGCGATAAAGCGCAACATTCCCTTTATAAAAATTCACTTGTCACTCAATCTCTCTCTCTAACTAACTATTTTTGTTACAATTTTACTAAAGTACTACACACAATTTAAGAATAAAAATAAAAGATGATTTTTTTTGTAAGACAACAGCCTTCATCATTCACATTTAAAAAAGAATTTGATTGTAAAACAACGATCACGTTTCTTTCTTCTTCTTTTTGTTGTTGTTGTTAGTATAACAATGAAATCTGGTGAATAGAATGAAAAAAAAATATTACTAATGGCAACACATATTTACTACTCACACCTCTTCTAATCAGTGTAGTTTAACACGTGAATAACCAAAGGAGTATAGTAACAATACAATGTCAGTAATAATACTACTAATAATAATTGGTGTCTTGAGAAATGAACGATTGCAAGCAGTATTACCACATCCAAGTGTCACCTTTCAGGTTTCAAGTTTGATTGTACCTTGATATCAATTAAAGAAACATTGGGAAAAAGGGAGAAATTATGATCAGTGGGGTCAACCAGATAGGATGCCAATTCAAACACCTGCCGATAACATTGGCTGGTGAGAGAGCTATAAATTGCGAACCGATAGAAATCATAATTCATGAACCATAAGATTCTGTCCCAGTGTCTTAATGGTATACGACCTCACCTCCTAGTTTTATTATTATTATTATTATTGTTCCTTTGGGTTCCTAGTGGAACATAGGGCTTCAACTGCACGTCTCCACTTGTTTCCGTCTTCTGTCGTACTTTTCACCTGCATCCATGTTAGTCCATACTGTTTCAGCTCCTCTTCACACGATCTCCTCCATGTCACCCTTGGACGTCCCACTCTACACTTCCCTTTCGGGTTCCACTCGAGCTATGGCCTGACGCGCGATGTCACCCAGCGGCCTCCTCAGCTCAGCGAGTGTCCAATCCATCTCCACTCTCTCCTGCATATTTGTTGACCGATTGCTTCTTGTTTTGTTCGTTCCCATAGTTTCTTGTCGGTGATTCTTTCCGGCCATACGATCTTCAGTATAGAGCTAGCGAAGACAGTTGCTGATAAAGGTCTGCAACAGGCTGTTGGAAATATTCTTTGTGACACACTGACCAAGTTTCTGATCCGTATAGAAGAACTGACTGACTTGACGTCGTTTGTATTGAAAATCCGAATCACTTTGTTGTTGATGGTGAGTTGAGTGAGGAAGATTTCCAGATTGGTTTCCGGGTTGAAAAATGTGTTTCTCGCCTTCCCGATTCTCGATTTGACATCCTCGTCCGTCCGTTCCTCCTGTAGTTGAGACAATGTTCCCTAGATAAGTAAGTGAATGAAGTAACCCCTTTCAAATCCCTCCCGTTGATGGTGATTGGTGCTGGATGTTGCTGTTGTTGTTGTTGGTTGGTTGGTTATTTTCATAACCTCCATCTTGTCTTTGTTCACCTGGAGTCATGTCTTCACTGCCTGCTTCTTCGACCAGTTTGTCGGTTTTCGCTTGTAAGCCTTCGATTTTGTGTGACATAAATCATCCACGCGCGGCATCCAGGTGTTCTAGATTCTTCACGTCGGTCCAGAAGATCCCTGTCTTCTCGTTTCCCACTGTCTGACGCGTAATCCAGTCCACCACAATTAGGAATATCACTCCTAGTTTGAAGGTCCTGAATTTGATCGCTTCCTCCTTCTGGTGGGATGAACGGGGTGTGTACTGATGACGAGTCTCAAAATAGAGGCGAGACAACTGCCCAGTGCTCTCTGATGGTTTCCAATGTGTATTTCACTGATATCATTGTTTTTCAAAGAATTCTATAGTTATATGATATTGAAAATTATCTGTACTTGATGCATTCAATATAACAATAACACCGAGAAACTATTGTTTTCCAGGGAGAATTGATAAAATTTCGGTTATTTTAGATCATTGGTGGAATAGTAGTACCATGATTATGCAAAACTGAACTCCATATACAGTCTTATTTTTGAAGCTAACCAAAGTTTGGACAGATGCGAATACTTTTCGAAATGACTGTTGTTTGTTTTCATCCCGTGTATTCCAAGTGGAACATAGTATATATCAAGTTTTGAAGTTTCAGCAGTACTGGTGTTATTTTTACGCGGTGGGGATGCTAGTCCTACGCCTAATCTCTTCTCTTTTCCGGGCTTACCACCAACTAGGTGAGGTTCAGGAGTGCATCTGCCGGGAGTGCAACCCGGTATTCGACAATTGAATCACCGATCAATACATAATGACTGTAGATAAAGTCGAACAGAAGATGACAAAAAAATACACTCAGTGTTAGACAATACTTGGTAGATTTTTGATCGCAATAAACGGTCTAGTGAGAAACGGAAGTACCTTTCAAAGAGGTCTAGCTTCAACCATTATTGTTAGCGAAGCTGATGAAGCGATTTCGGTCAGCTTTCCCTTTCTTTCGTGTCCGGAGATCGTCATGATCAGCTTAGAGGCAGCCACAAAAATTCATTGGCTTTCCTTAACTTTCAACTTCAAGTAGCCACATGGACAAACACTATTTTCACGGGAAACTGAATATGGTAATGAGCTTCTTTAAGATAAACATTGCTACCATGCTCAGGTAAGTATTTGATTCATGGCATTGCTTTTGTTTTGTCCTTGAATTCGCAGTGACGAACTTATCCATGTTGAGTTCCAGACAGGTATACAGGAAGGAGTGACAATCTTCCACCGATAAGTTATAGCGAAGTGGTCTACTCTTGTCCATAGCTGGCTTGATGTCAGCGTTCACCTAGTTGGTACTAGACAAGAACAAATATTATTACAGGAGGGCTATATCGTTGTTGGCTCGTCCGAACGGCTCAGTTCTGCTACTTCGATACAGAATACACCTGCTAATATGAGAGCTTTACAGCAAATTGGATAACTAATGGCAAAACCAACCTTACTTCTTAAATACAATTATTGATTCCTTAGGAAGCAACTACGGAAAGACGCCGATGAATACCGGGACTTTTCCACCTATTTACAAGCCTATATTCATTCGGAAACCAAAGACTGATTGCCCAGTGAAATCCAGCTGGGTACACACTTATCTGTCTTACAGTTAATTATTACTTTTACATCATCAAGTTCACGGGAACTAGTCAAAGACATCCCAACATCTTGTTAGTTCAACATGCTGGCATGATTGAATTCAGTCAATTAACTACGCTTAGGTTCCATGGGCGTCTCAGAGAAACAATGTGTGTCCAAATTCCGAGTTTTGACTAATGAGACCCACTTTACGAATTCGAAAAGGACAATAAAATTAACGCGGATGGCAAATTGTAGTACTATTCTTAGTTATATAGTCAGGCTAATATCTCCCAAACTAGTTGTGGCTTTTACTTTGCTTTCTTTTAAAAGAATGCAATATACCACGTTTGATCACTTTACTGAAAGTGCATCACATGACCAAATCTATAAAATGACTTCACCTATGCACTGTTGAAACCATGAGTGTTATTTATTTCGCAATCAATTGAGTTATGAGGTATGATTAGGCGGACTAAATAAGCAATTCAGTACCCGACGCTTGTTTTTAGTGGAGTTTACTAGTGCAAATAAACAATAATAGGGTTCAAAGGTTGGAGGAATTACAAGTGCTGCTATATATCTATCCCATACTCTGATCGATATAACTGACATCTTGGTATGAAATAACCTTAAATGGGCACGGTCAACGTCGACTCGAAGAACAACGATCAACTTATACAGCTACCTACACACACACACATACCCTGACTTTACGTAGTAACAATATTACAGTCTTCCACAACGAATAGACTAAACGAGTACTTCATCAACTAAGTTATAATTTTCTTTCCCTATGATCTTTGATTGATTTGCAATTTGTGGGAAACTCAACTAAATGTGAACACAAAATTAATAGGGTGCGTACAGCAACACAAACCCGAATAGTTAGCTATAAAATGGTTTATTCACACTACTTGCTACATTCTACAAAGAATACAGACTAACAACCTCACGATAATTCTGCTGAAGACATGTCATTCAAGAGGTAGCAGACAAGTCATGAAATACAACCTGCAAAGATTCCTGATATGAACACAATTAAAGTTCTAGGGTTTCTTTACGGGTTGACAGGAAATGACCCGACCGATAGTTGCTACCTTGACATGGTCGTCGGGCTTGCACATCGCGATGAACCAACAAGTTACACTGGCTGGAACCAATGTTCCTGCAGGTCCTACCATGCCAGGAAGGTTGTTAGGATAGCGATTAGACTAAAGGAAGTTACCGGCATTGTGTAAGAATCTTTCCTACACTATTCTGGGGGGTCTGAGGGCGAAGTCGTACTGCTGGGGAACAGGGGTGTGTAACAGCAGTGAGGCGTTTCCTTCAGATGACCAGCATGCCAGCTATGCTGTCTCTCCACTCTGGAGAGAGAGAGGGTTAGAAAAGGTCGACCCCAAAAATTGTACATCCCGACTTACCCTACGGTGGTCCGTAACCGGCGGTAAGTTTACTAATACGGAACCAATCCCAGAAACCAGTTTATACAGGCCGTGTGACCGGCCTCAAGCAGTTGTCCCCTGGGCTCTGCGGTCACGCAACACTAACCCTCTTTCTGTTTCAGGTATCCAAAGAATCAATCAACTTCCACGGTGTGGGCAAACGGGAAGTAACAACCACCCACGCACTTCCAAAAGCACACGTAGCCTTCCTGAGCATCCTGACAGGAAATAGTATTACCTGAATCTCAAGATATAGTCTTCAAGAAATACATTCGTTAGATTATTTATTGAATGGATACAAATGTGTCTGAGTAATTCGATTATACAACTTACTCTTTAGTATGTATTCACTGAAGTGAGAACTTTATTTCAGTGTTCTACAATGTGTCCATATCTGACGTAGTTTTCTGCATTAGACTACTAGTATAAAAACACTACTTACAGTCATTCCAATCATATCAACAATAGAAATACTATATTCTCGTAGGGAGTAAATATCAATTCTAGAATACCAAGTTGCACGGTAAGAAGTGTAGCTTGGATAGGAATGAATGACACGCATGTATTATTCACATGCTCGGTAAAACTTACCAATCGACGTGAAATCCTTCCTCTCCATTGAATTATCAAAGTCTAACCCATTTATTCAAGTCTACACAAGGGGAAATCACTTCTATGCTGGATATGCACTGTTAAACTAAGAGCGCTAGTAGTCTTCAACAATCAATTGCCACTATTTGTTGAAGGTGATAACTGTACTACTTACTTATAATGATGTTTCGTGATGGAAAATTGGCTGCCCAAGTTTAAATCTCACCAAAAACAAAAATACTACAACAAGAGAATGGGCACATGTAAATATATTTGTGCAATAAGCAGACTGAAACCAAATACACTAGCTAAATAGAATAGAAGGAAATTACAAGACAGTGTATACTTTAAGAAATGATAGGAAAACGGATGGAAGCCAATATGTAAAGCGTACAATGTAAATATAGCTTATAACGTTTGTAGCAATAATCAACAAAACTGGCAATCGAGCACAGTTACGTGTGACGTGTTCTCCTCATCATCCAAAAAAAGCCAAAACAAAAAATTGACAAACCTTTTAAACATCACACAAAAGTGACATTCACGGTAGCCTACACAATAGCTCTACACACAAAGTGGATGAAAGAACACAGCCGAGTTGAGCATAATAAAAAGGATGGGGAAAGTTAAGTTTATGTGTACAAACCAGCAGAAACAAATACTGGTACAGTTTAGATAGATTCATGCAAGTCACAATATGATGAAATAATAATATACGCTGCCATGAACCTGAAAGGACAGTAGTGTAAAAGCGCACACTTATAATAGTAATAAACACGTTTACATGAGAAATATATGTATCCGGATATCTGACATATATCAAAATGAATTTAATTAATATTAGCTGATTAGAGGATGCCAACACAGCCTAAAATACACGCTTTAATAATAATGAATTAAAGAATAAAATAAAATGTTCACTGAATTGAATAAATTTTAAACATCACACGTAAAATTTAAAGGATCACTAGAGTACAATATAGTCCAATAAAGGACAGTGTATGTGTAGTAATCATCACTTAAATGATGTATTTTTATATGAAATTAATGGCAATATAGTTCATCATGCAAGATGGTCAAACATGTCTTGCCCGACGAACAGCAACAAATTTTCTCGAAAGAAAACAACACACTGCAGTGATAACTGATGGTGCAGTAGACAGAAACTCTGACGCTAGTATACACCACGGGAGGTTAAACTGTGAAACCAACATGAAATGTAACTGTCCATACAAGAATTGGAGCCAGATGTAAGGTAAAAACATTCATCTCAACAAAGTTTTTGATCATGTTTTTATAAATAAGGGGGAGATTAGGTACATCAAATTTTCTGGACCTTTTGGCAAACAATCTGGGGATTGGAACGACGGATTTCTTCTTGACCTGACTCTCGATAGTCAAAGGAGCAATCGTGCGCATCAGAATAACGATGCAGACTACAATATAGGCCACCACAGCGACAAGAAAAACCTGAACAAAGCAAAAGATGTATGTAGAAATATCAGGACTTGTGAAATACGAATACATATTAACACTGAGCAAATAAGACAGCACAGATAACTACTGAATTCGTAACAATATAAAAGTTGATAGAAGTTACCAACATATTAATTTAAAGCAAGATGGGATTTACGATAGTATTATTACCTGTCAAACCGACACGTTTATTGCAAACGGCACAGCGTGGTCTGGTTTTGGTAACTGGTCCAGAGGAGCACGTTGATGCTGTGAAAGAGAAAATGCAATATAACTTTGTGTAAGGGTGATAGTGGAAACATAATGTAGTGTGAACAAATCGGTCACTTTATTGTTTATCTTAATTAATTCACGTCTCATGAGAGATCATTTTCTTTTCGTTTATTAACTGGTTAATTATAATTAAACTGCGGCTTGTGAATTCATCAAGTTTCCAAGCAACTAATCTTGAAACAACCATCTAATTATTATAAAAATAAAGATCCTATGTCAGAAAATGAAACATTTAGAGAATGGATAAAACTACACTGGGGAGTATAAGACATCCACTTTCTGTCAGAAAAGGGATTACGCTTTAATAACATGGTCTAAATTTTTCACAAGAATCAGAACAATAACAAGAAACTGTACGTGCATAGGTTTAACTAATCTGGGACATATGGGGAACTACTACTATATAAACATATTTGCAGCTTTCATTAGTTTATTTATACAGATAGACGAGTGCAGAATCTCTAATACAGGTGGATTCATCTATGCCACTGCACACCAAGACATAAAGATGAAATGTAATTAGGAGGGATGCAATAGGTAAATTGGTTAGATTTTTTATATGTAAAGCTATGTAAATTAGAGGAAAGCCTGAAGACCTAGTTGGAAACAATTTTGTTAGCTTATGTCTTGTAGTGAAAGTAGCCGCAAAACTGGAACACTTAAGGACTCCCAATGCATGAGATTAGAAATTACAAAGGAAAGGAGAGAGATGTTATTCAACAAGTACTTGCACTAACCATACAGCTGGTAATGAGCTACACTAGCTGTGAAGATCAGTAATGCTACATAGTGAAGCCAGCTTCGAACCTGTGACGCAGCTGATGGAAGTCGAGGACCTACACCATCATAGCTCCACAACAGTCTAAGAAATATCAATAATGTGATAAACAAAAGCCTACTGTTCTGTTCCGCCATCACCCTTGGGTATACCGAATGACATCTTGAAATGGTAATTACTGAAACAAGGGGGCATAATGTGAGACCAAAACGTGTGATGCTAACTTTTAGTGTTAACAGATGACTTTGGAACCACTTGCATATTACAAAATACAGGGACACTGACACCAAAGAACACGGCTGACTTCACCTTTCTGTTGCTGTTACAAATATTCCTGACATGTGGGAAAAGTAGTGACGCAGGTCCGCATAAACTTGTAATTAAATGAGATGGATTTATTGAAACGGCAAGGCGGGGGAAAAGGATACTATCTGATCACAGAAACTTCAAGAATAAACTGATGGGGTTATCAGAACAGACAAGAATGACAATCATAATAAGTTGGCGACTCAAACTTACACCTGTTTAGAGTATATGCAAGTATAAATCAAGTTAAGACATTTTAATTAGATCGAAACCCTATCCTGCATATCCAGTCTTTTAGATATATACATAAGCGAAGTAAAACACGAGCATTAATGCGCATATATATATATATATATATATATATATATGTATATAGTAAATATACTTAAGTAACTTACCAGGTGAGTCCGCTTTACTATCCGGTCTCAAATCATCATTCAAGGAGTCTGGTAACCCACCAGCGGACACGTCGGCTTCTGCATTTAATTCGGGGGCTGACGAAGTGAAGTTAGACTCATGTTTAACGCTAAGTGAAGAATCTGAATGGGATTCGCCAGAAATCTTAATGGTCACAGGAGGTACCAACGAGGATTCACGTTTTGGAGAATTTTCAGCTGAAAGGCAACGAAAGTGAAATAGTTAAAGCGGTGTACAGCCAAACGAATAGTATTTCAGATGCCAAACAGTAGACATTTTCGTAGTCAGTGATATAGGCATATTTGAATTATACTAACCATTCATCCATTTCTTATACAGGAAGCAATTGGAATACCAAAATCGTTTCGTTGGCATTTCAGTAGGACATTCCAATTCTATGTGGTGGCCAGTAAAAAGTCGCACGCGTATACATCAAATCCACACTTAACTACTTAGTTCAACATTTAGATACATTTGTCTCCGGATTCGGAAAATAAAGCACCTATTTACCGAGTCCTACTTTCTACCATCCATTTGATGAGTCAAGATTCACCCAACACTGAGAACGAAGGGTTGTTTCAAAAGAAAGTGACTAACTAAGCCTTTCTGACTTGTACGCAACACTAACTCTATTCCTCAGAAACCCAGTTGCTTACTCCTTTTGTAATAGTAATAGGTGTAACTAGTCAGTTACTTACATGGGCTTCTTGATGGAGCACGAGAGATTATCCAAATGACTACTTCAGTAAAGTGTGGAAATCTACATAGTTCCATCTCCCCTTTAATTATGACTGGAGGAGTAATAGGGTACACTAAGCGCCTCTTTATTCGTGATAAGAACCGATTATCTTACCATTAAAAAAAAAACTATACTTTAATAAATTTCAGCAATATTGCAATTAATAGTTCTTGAAGTTTGCACCGATTTCAGTAGCACTGAGATTTCCACACATATAATTTTGGTCTGCCTACTTTTCACCTGGTGTTCAATAAAATAAGGGACAATTTCGTAAAATCTTAGTCGCAGTTCATACACAATAATCGCATTAAGCCTCCAGTGAATGACTACACTCATTGGTCATAGCCTTCTCACTGAAATACAGCCTTGACATTTTCACTCTGGTTATTGAAGAGTAAGTTTAGCGTACGCCAATAATCAAGGATTAAAAGGGCATTATTTATCAACGTCCGTCAGCTAAAGAGGACCTCAGAGAATAAGGACAAAGTGGGGAAGTACTGCTGAAGCCCCATCTTGTACTCGGAATCCAAGGGCATATTAACGATGTATGCAATATAAGAATAAAACTTGTGCACTGTCGTAGAGTATAATTCCATTATGGGTAAAATTTGTTTTGATAAAGTCTCACACTGTTATACAGTAGTGTTAACTGATCAGTAAACAAATTTTACCCATAATGGATGTATAAAATAGTCATTGACGCTAATAACGCGACCATAGTACCAAACCCTTCACACGGGGATCCCTTTGGTGATTGTATAGACTCGCAAACCAAAAGCATTGGGTTTTCCAAGTTATCTTCCTCCGAGACTTGGATATGCTCAAATTTATTCACCGTTTGCTCTCCCCACAGTATATATACTGACACGCATTCACCCTAGAAAATACTAGTGTCTAAATACCAACGAGTTATACAAGTGCATGATAAATGGACAGTGAACTACATGGGCCATGAATACTATGATGACAATTATTGATATAAGTATAAAACTTGGGCACTGTGGTAGAGTATAACTCCATAATGGTTAAGATTTTATTTTGATAAATCACAGTGTTGTACAGTTATATTAACTGATGACGTTTCGAGCACAAACTAATGATCATAATCATATGATATGATTATGAGTAATAGTTTGTGCTCGAAACGTCATCAGTTAATATAACTGTACAACACTGTGTGATTTATCAAAATATCTTAACCATTATGAACTATGATGACAACATAGCACAAATCAGATGAATTTAGATTTCAGCCGACTGCCAAAGTGGGGAAACAGTACAGCTATACTGCCACACGTGCATAAATAAACTCAGTATTTGTTGTACAATCTTATTAAGCGAAAGCATGAAGAACGCAATTTATCAAAATGTGGTAAGATATCCAATTCTGTCATACCGGATGATCCAGTGATTTTCATACTCCTTTCCGAAGATAGTTTATCATCGAATTCAGAGGTTACTCTGGACACGGCCTGAGCACTTTCAGCTTGAGCCTGCATACTGCGGTGACATTTTGAACAAAATCCATCGAAACTGGGACTGCCATAAAATCCACATCCCTTGCGACATAACAAAGGGATATTCTGTGACTGATCGTTTTCCTCCATTATTTACGCGACAGAAGTTTGTAGGAATCGAGAAGTCTAATTGGTGGTTATAAATCGAGCGAAGCACAAACTATTAGTCCTATCGCTACAGACTTTCCGAAGATGACTAAGGAATCTGCCAAAGTTGGCGCCCTAGACCCCTAAGTATTTTCCAACAAAACAAGTACTCTAAAATAACAATTGAAACTTTAACTCCATTTCCAAAAGGAGTCTCCAACATATCTACTATAACATACAGGGTTGCTAGTGATGATTTTAATCTGCATAAAATGGACCATTTTCTCGTTTCTCTTCATGTCTCAAGTTGCATGAGGGTAGTCGGGGAATATAGTTAAAATTATCACATATTCAGATTATGAAGCGTTTTTCAGTCATCAGTGTAATTGAGAGAATTTTTAACACCCGGAAAGAAAGAAATTAAGTACGAGAAAGATTCATAGGATAACTTCATTGCTCTGGAAATATCCAACTACTCCTACCACAAATAAATTCATGTGAAGTTTTAGGTATAATAAAACTAGGATCCATATATGTGGTCCACTTTAGAACCTGTTACTTGAAAAACATGGAGGTGCCAATTAAGTTTATGGACCAGAAGTTGGGAGAAGGTGAAATTAAACTCATTAATCTGGAACAGATTTTCTACTAACTCGAATATTATCCGTACTATCTGTTTGGAAAACTCTGATGTTATACGGAAGCAGGAAATAGAACAAGTAGGTTTATATCCCGTACAGTGACCTATTGTCTGCAATCAAATCATGCAATCATTGAGCAAGAAAACACTCATTTTTTAAAAATGTAGTATTCCACAATCATACATTCCTTACTAGTGATTATAATAGCTGAATCTCCACCTTCCCTATTGAGCTACTGTCTCTCAGAACGAAAAATGCCCTCAAGTGGTTGTGATATTTAATACAGTCAAATTACCAAGCCGCGGTTGCCGTACTTCACAGCTTAAAGACACACTGGCTTGACTGTTTAGTGTCCGTGTAAGTACCACACAGCCAACTGAAAATCTCAAGTGTTCAAGTGCATGTTTAAGTGGTATGTGCCCAGCAGATTGTTAACTAAGTGGACTTCGAAAAAATCATATAAATTTACCTGCCCCGTAATGCTCAGATTGACTGATTCTAACGATGCCTTACTATTTTCGCTATCCGAGACAGTTTCACCGCACAGTGGTTAGGACTCTCGCCGACCATGCACATGGTCCGGGGTTCGATCCCCTGCCGGCGCACACCCGATATCTATGGTATGCCTGAATTTGGGCAACCGATATCCATGCTGAAAATTCCATACTTGTACTGAAAATACGGTGTGGAATCAAGCTGTAAATAAAAAAAAATGGTGTAAATCGTTGGTTGTCCCAAATGATAAAAAGGAGAATAAGTCTTCTAGTAATTAAAGATGAATTAGCTTGACCAGCATTATATCTAAATTTCTACACTCAGTGATCATGCGTAAAGTGACCGGCGCCTAGCAAGAACCAATCTGGGAACAGCAACCGAGCTTTAGAGCGGGAAACGGGTATATTTTCCACTTGTCTACACATTCTGAAACAAAGATATATTTTCCATTTCTCAGAACAAGTCATACTTCTTGATCCTAAGGTGAAATTCGAGAGGCCCGGCCCAGTAGCTTTGTCGCAGTATCTGATAACAAAAGCAGTATCAATTACGGCACATTAATGAAGGCAGTCTACTAGAAATCAAGCAGCTGCACGAAAGATTATGAGGATTCGTTATCTGAGGTGGTGAACGCCACAGATGCCCACTGTTCTCGTTTTTGCTTGATTTCATCATTGATATACTAACTGATATGAGCCCAACCAATCACCCATTGAATTCTTGCCGGAAAATAGTCTCGTCAAGTTAGACCGTAGGGACAATATTATCCGTCTAGGTGCGTACGCTGACAAAATGCATAGTCTTAATTCGGGACATCTGTTCTCAGTCCCCTTTCCAGTTGACTGTCCAGTAGGAAAATAAATTTTTATTAAAATATTTTCAGCACATGGAATAAGTAATAGCAATGGCGCATTTAACTCCACCCCACTTTCCACATGAGTCAATTGGCTACACCATTTCAAAGAACCGACGCTACGTCACATCTTCACCACGGACACAAATGGCGTAGATACTTTCGGAAAACCTGGTACTGATAACAGCATCATAAACACTTTGTGCCCTTCCAGAATATTTCGAGCAGGTTCAGAATTTCTCAGTAATGATCGCCACTTAGTGCTCGGTACGTCTGATGCAAATACGGCTACAAACTCAGAAGTAAGTGATGGAAAAACTTTACTCAGTGACTATCTATCTTTATTCATGTTACGGGAACCTATCGGAGCCATAATTAACTAACAACTCGGCTGCAGGAACAAGCAATTTACTCTACGAGAATATAGGTTCCTCTCTCAGTTTCATCCCATAAGTGTAACAGGATATAAAGGTGTTTCAGAAATCAGATACGATTCTTGAAAAACACAAAATCGCATGGGTAGGCATGCTAGACTATTCGACAGGTTTAATGGCATTTCATCACTTCCTACATCTAGAAATAATCATGGCTCCATGTATTTGAGGCCACTAAACAAGAGCGAAAATCCTACCCACAATCTGACACTACTGTATTATTACTTGATTATTTTTCACCTGAGTTCCTTGTAGGAAATAGGACTTCGATAACACGTCTTCACTTTCCTCTATTTTCCGCCGTCCTTTACAGCTGGCTAGCCACAAGATTGCCCATAATGTCCCATCTCCTCTCCGAACGATCTCCTCCATGTCACCTTCACACTGACGATCCACTCGTCGTTTCCCATTGGGATTCCACTCGAGCAGCGGCCTGCATTCCGCGCGATGTTATTCGAAAGTCTCCTCAGTGTATGACCGATCCACCTCCATTTTCTCCAAAAAATTTATTGAGCAGTCACCCCTTGGTTGGCTTGTTCCCAGACAGAGTTTCTTGTTGCTAATTCTTTCTGGTCGACCATTTGATCATCAGTAGGGAGTCAGCGAAGGCATCAGTTGATAGAAGTCTGTCACTTGTTGGAAATCCTTTTCGAGACATGCAGTGTAAGTTTCTGACCCGTGTAGAATCACTGACTGGCCTCACATTTGTGTTGAAAATCCTAATCTTGTTGGCGTTTATGCTGGCTGAGTACGGTGCAAAATATCTTCAAACTGGTTTCAGGTTGATGAAGGTGTATCTCGCTTTTCCGATTCTGACTTTGACACCTTCATCCGTTCCGACTGCCTGTGGCAGGAGTTATGCTTCCTGACCAGATGATTGAAGGAAGTAGCCTTTGTTGAGCCTCTGCCGTGGATGGTAATTGGTTCCGATTGTTGTTGCCGTTGGTTGTTTGGTTATCTTCATCACCTCCGTTTTCTATATGTGTCCATCTGCAGATCTGTCTTCACCTCTGGCCTCCTCAGCCAGTTTTTCGGTTTTTGCCTGCAAGTCTTCGAGTTCGTGTGACATCAGACATATATCATCTGTGAAATGCAGACCTTCTAAAGCCTTATTATCGGTGGTCCAGCGTACTCCTGTCTTCCCACTCCAAATGCACAGTCTCCCTCATAATCCAGTCCGCCACAATTAAGAACATAGTCGGTGATAATAGGCAGCCCTATCTTACTGCTGATTGTACTTAGAACGCCTCGCTGAATTTTCTATTGTTTATTGCCTGACACGTGGCATTGTCACATAGCCAGCTGTTGAATGACGCTGATAAAGATTTGGGCAATGTACGCCGTAGTGTTGAAGCAGTTCCAAATTACTCCGCGGTCAACGCAGTCTATCAAAGGTCTTTTCGAAGTCGATAAAGTTAAGGTAGAAGTTGGACTACCATTTTATGCTTTGTTCTGTGATGACCACGCGTAAGGCTGCAATTTGATCAGCACATGATTCACCTTTCCTGAATCCAGCTTGTTCTGGGCGGAAGTGTGCATCCAGTGCATCTTTTATTCTCCCCAGGATGATGCGACTTAGTATTTTACTTGATGTGGGTGGACAAAAGCACTGTTACACGCCAGTTCATGCAGAGGCTTAACCGTGGCGCTCTTCTTTGGCAGCCTGACAAAAAAGCCGGCCTTCCTTCCAATCAGTAAGCACCTTTCCTTCATTCCAAACCTATAATAATGGCGTGAACATATATGCCACAGTCTACGAATCCGTTTTCATTGCTTCAGGGGGAATTCCGTCTGGTCCTTCTGCTTTTCTGTACATCAGCAGCTTGATCACATTCATGATTTCTGCTTTCGTTGGAGGATTAATATTCACTCTCAGGTAGTTATGTGCGTGCTGTCGGTGGTACTTGTGGGCGAGCTGCAGGCGACGATCAATTCAAGAGTCCTTTGAAGTGATTAGCCCATTGTTTTATTTGTTTCTCCTCTTTGGGAATCAGGCTCCTTTGAGCATCCCTTACTGGTTTCATTAGCTGGGTTGATCTCTTCTCGAATACGGATTGCTTTGTGTGTATCCTTGTGTTTTTACACGCCGCCTCCTAACACTAGATCATTGAATACTCAGAGGTCTGCAAACAATTCTCCTTTCTCACTCATTTCGCCGTGTGAGAGCCTCTCGACCCATGATGAGTTCTGTTCAAGCATTATTTACTCCTGTTTCGGCTTGCATTCATATCGCCCATAATGATTTTGATGTGATCATTTGGGATGTTGTGCATTCCTATTTGTAGTTGTCTATAAAAATCTTCCTTCTTGTCCCGTTCCACGTTTGTAGCACTGTGAGTAGCACTTTAAAAATTATTACCTTCCTTCCTTTTGAGTTGAATCCGTCATTATCCTGCGGGAGGAAATTAATTCCCACTGCATTAAGGCTGTCTGCCACTGGTGACATCATTATATCCACTCACTGTCTCACTGTGCTCGTGGTTGTCGTGTGGGTGACCAAACCGGAGAAGATTGCTGGCTCTCCAACTGAAAATCTTTATAGCTCACGTCCATTCCATCTGCTCTCGCACATACCAAGGA